AAGCCGGCACGCCGCATTTTTATGGGAAATGATTCGGTCTACGGTCCAGTGGCTCTGAAGCTGGAGGATCTGCGCCTGCGCACAGCGCGCCCTGAGCTCGGGCACACCTGTGCCTAGGCGGTTTGCTGGCCTAGGAGTTTTCCAAGTCGGGTTTAACTGTGGTGGTGTTGAAATCCTCATCCTGTGGATCCCAATGGTGGTCTGAGGCTCAGTGTCTTCTGGACGATTGCTTTTTTTCAGTATTACCTCTGAAGACTGGCCAAGAGGGGAGGGGGTAAACGGCTCAGTCCCCCTATTTCTGCTCTATTGACTTGAAATATTGAGTAAGTAATTTGGTTAATTCAACCAAACTGCACCGTGTCCGATATGAGGAAAAGCGGAGAGAACTGGACTGGAGGTGACTTTGGTAGGGAGCCTACTTTGCAAGCATGAGGCCCTGAGTTCAAACCCTAGTACCACTAATATGGATCTGAGAAATTAGGGAGGGTCAAATTCTTCACACTTTGTTTATTCATTGACAGTATGTGTAAGTGCGTGTAAGTGCACACTTTGTGTCGAGCTGCGAACCTGATTGAACAGAGGTCTCACTGCTGTGGATTTTAGACAATAGAGAAGACACTGTAATCACTAGGGGCAAGAAAGATACAAGTGAGGCGCTTGTGGATGTAGCTCAGTGGTAGAGCACTTGCCTAGCATGTGCAAGGCCCTGAGTTCACCCCACAAAAGCAACAACACAAACTTCTTCCATTTTATAAGTTTAGCCTGTCTACAGTTGTACACACACACGTAATCCTAGCATTCTGGAGCTGAGGCAGGAGGAGAGTAGTAGTGAGTGCGAGGTCAGCTCACAAAATGAGCAACGTTTTGTGCTTTGTTTAAAAAAAAAACAGGTTGTTTGCGAACGGGTGATGCTCCAAGGAAGAGGTCTCCAAATGGCTCTTGGGTACCAAGTTCTTAATGTCACAAAAAATAATTTTAGAACTCAAGGTAGAGACAAATAAGTTTATTAGTAAAAGAAGGCAAAGGAGAGATAGAAATATATTACACAACCTAGACGTGGGTGCATGCACATCTGATAACAGATGCAAGGAGTGCTCTAACATGAGGGGTATTTATGGTGAAAAATGGGGTTGGGGGTTTGCATCAATAGGAAAAGTGCTCCACTTTGTTCTGACACCTAGTATAATTAGTTGCTTTTGCTATTACACAGTCTTACCAACTGGACTCAAAAGATTTCAAGGTTGGCACACTCATTAAATCTGGGTCACTATGACATAGTTATTTGAACATCCCTTTAAACAAAGAATGGGTCCTACCAGATGCTCCCTTCACGACAGGTGTCCATTCTTGCAATAAGCATTTTTCTTTGTAGAACTTTTTGTGCCCAAAGGAATCATTTTTCCAAGAGTTCTTTCCCAGGATAGGTGTCTTTTTTAAAGATATCCTTGCTCAGTGTTCAGGGGGCACTAATTATTTTTGGGTAAGCAAGCAAAGTCAGAGGGAGAGAGGTGCTGTTTTTTTTTCTGTAAATGTTGCAGTCTGTTGAGAGTGTGAGGCTGAATTTTTTAATTGAGCTATTCATTATTAGTACAATACTTCCTTGTAAATTCCTGACTGCTGTTTCCCATGCTTCAATTTCTCTGATCTGTCCTGCCTCACAGGTGTTAACAGAAATATAGGAGCTGGGCTCAGTGGCTCGAACCTGTAATCCTAGCTACTCAGGAATCAGAGATCAGGAGGATTACAGATCGAAGCCAGCCCGAACAAATAATTTTCAAGACCCTATTTCGAAAAAAACCTCCATGAAAAAGGGCTGGAGGAGTGGCTCAATGTGTATGCCCTGAGTTCAAACCCCAGTACCACAAAAAAGAACAAGAAAGAAAAATAGGCAAAAGATGTAAACAGGCAATTCACAATGATAGAACAATTGGTTATAAAGTAAATATTCAACCTTGCTAGTAATCAGATAAAAGTAGATTAAAATGGTAGCATACTAACCTGCTAAAGTGGCCAAAGTAATGTTTGGTTAAATTTTGGGGAAAACTGACCCTCCCATTCTTGTGTGATACATTTTTAAAGCTTACTTTTTATTTGTTTACTGGATTTGTTTACAGGGCCTCACTCAGGCACTCTACCATTGAGCAACACTCCCAGCCCTTTTGTTTGCATTTTGTTTGTCGAGACAATCACCCTAATTTTAGAGGGGCTGGCCTCATTATGGGATCCTCCTGCCTTTGCCTCCTGAATAGCTGGAATTACACATATGTACCACCACACACAACTCTAAGATCCAGGCAGGCAAGCATTATACTAGCTGCTTCATCTGCCTAGAATGTTCTGTCCTTTGAAATTTCGTGATTGTTGGCAATAATGGCACCGATGGGTTTCGGTTCTGACTGCACCCTTAAGCTTCTGTCACGGTCCTGCCTCAAGTCTAGCTTGAATTCTCCTTCTGCCCCAACCTCTAATCAGCCTGAACCATAAGATCCTAACCAATCTGATCATGCTGAGTCTCACTGAGGGGTATTTAAACCCTTGACCCTCTCTCTCTCTCTCTCTCTCTCTTCGGCTCTTTCCCTCTCCCACCCAGCAACAAAGAATCTCTTGTCCAGATCACTCCTCTCCGCATGGTCACTTTTGGGGCCTACATTTGGTGCCTTGACTCCGATCGGGTTTCCCCACTAATCCTGGTGGGACCCCAATTCCGACTCACCCCACAACCACCCTGAGGATGTGACTGGCCAGGACTCATCCTCCCGATCGCCCTTGCTCGCATCTAAGACCGGACATCCTTTGGTGAGTCCACATACCCTTATTGGGCTCCCTTTATGGTCTCTCCCTCCAGTGTCTCCAGGGTTCCAGCGTCCCCCCCTTTCCGATCATCTCTGGGGCTCAGACAGTAGAGGAAAGTCCTCTTTCCCAATCAGCCTCAGTTTGGGTCTATCTTTGTTGTTCTCGGTCTCAGAGGCCGCCCTCCGAAAAGCCCAGCACCAGGTGACCCATACCCCCTCAGCCTTTTGGCCCTACAA